TACTGGTCCATTCAATTATCGATCAAAGCTACCTCCATGGATACGGGGGAATTGGCAGACTAAATTGAAAAACCAAATCCTATTTGTCTTCGTGACAGATTTTTATTTTGATAAGAATTACGGATTACATATTTCAGACTTTTTCTCAGGAAGTAGGACAAATGTAATCTCCTTGAAGTAAGTGGGTGTATACTCGAATCTCGTGCGTGCAGAGTGCTCGTATCTGGAATTTCCCTATTCTAGTACTTAAGTTAAAAAAAGGTAGATTAAAACCTGTTCTTGATCATTCTTCCTTTTATTCTGGTCTCTTGAGAAACCAGTACAGGATAAATTTTAATTTGCCCTTTTTTACAAGTGAAATGAGTCGGAGAGTCTACATTTCACTATTGTGTAAAGTCACCATCCCTATATTTCGTGTCTGTTTTAGCGTGTGGAAGTCTTGTATTAAAGGGTATTTTGTATAAAAATAATTAGGGACGAGATTGGAATAGAAACATGTACTGAACGGATGTATTTTCAAGACAGAACGCGAATAACTCAAAATCAGTAAATGTTCATGATAGTATATTTATTTACACTGTTACATGATGTTGAATATAAAACACAAAGCCAATTATCTATTTATAGAAACAAGGAAACGATGCAGACAGCGCCTGTACTGTTATTTATTATTTATTCTAATTAACTGTAATATAAGACCGTTTACAAAAACAAATGTTGCTTTTCCGGTTTTCGAAATTGCGAAACACTGATAGGACGCGTAGGCATGAAGGCAATTTAAATTTATTTTATTTTTGCATTTGACTTGGCGAATGAATGTCCCTCAATTGTATGTAATAAGCGGAGATGTCCCAGATGATTGTGACTACCTTCTGTGAGTTTCAATTAGCTAAACAACAAAGATTAAGGAAACAATATCATATACATTGGGCTGCATTACTGAGTTGGTTGTTTTATCATTGTTTCCAACAATGCAATGGCATAAACTTTTTGTCTTAATTTCAAAGCGTAAGGTCAAATATTTCGTATCATATATTTGAAGATAGTGAAGCTTAATCGGAAAGGATTTCATGGTCAGCGCTGGCGTATCCTCCGTTTATTTACACTCCCCGTCATACAAATATGAAGATAACAGGTTCGACTTGAGTTTAGTTTGGTTTAACGCAGAATAAAATCCATACTCATTTTGATTCAAAAATATGTAATAGAAACACTTATGTCGATCGATCATTATGTCTATACCGTTTAAGTGTATGAAGTCAGACATGATAAAAAAAATAATCTAATGGATGATTTAGAACAGCAACGTCTCTGACTATGACAAGTGTTCTTTCAAAACTCCTGTTTCTGCTTTCTTGCATAAATACTGTGCAAAACTGGAACGTCATTTTGATGTAGAGTTAAGGCGAGGGTTTTGACTTTATATATTGTATATTTTATCTTTGGATCTTACATAAATACAATGTTAGATTATTATCCTGCAGCTTTGAGTTGGTCCTAAATATTTAGGTTAATTGTAAAACTGGAGCAAGCTTATACATCGTAGGCGATCACTAACGGTCAGAAATTTTGCTCGGCTTCGATGTATATATGAAAAAGTCAACTTTGCAATACATCGTGTCCTACATACAGTTAATGACTGTAGAAATCTAGCGATATTAGCTATTTGTGGTATACTGTTAACTATCACAATTGTTTGTGTGAGGAAATAAAACACGAAATAAACAGGACGTAAAAAATATTTCATTCGAATATTTTATTCAAATCTTCGAGAAACGCTGTTCATGGTCCTGAGTAATGCGACAGCAACGTTTGTTACCTTAATTGTCAGCGTTCACGACAATGTCTTAAACAATTATGAGCGTTTGTTTGGAACTCTTCAAGGATATCTACTCAAATCTTTTAGGCGCTTACATTGAAGGCGGTCGTCAATAGATATCGAATCTGTGCTAGCTGTACATGACCACAGACAAGAAGCCATGATCCTATTGGGAGAACACATGTAATTCTAGGCCAGCAGGGCTAGACCCCCTTTCACTGATTTCCCAGGAGATGCAGTTGGCGACCCTTATCATCAGTAGCTCTACGCCAAATGAGCAGATGAACCATGTAATGCTTCCGGATACAATGAGCCTGTTATTCAAAAATAATTTCAAAGTGTTTTTATACTATAGTGAGTGGCTCATATGCGTACACGCGATCTGCTTGAATCTCAGGGAAATTCCGGAAAACTTCTATTTTTTTTTCATTTCACATTGATGGAATTTGGAACCAAATGGATTCAAGTTGGAATGTTACAGTTTCTGCGACAAATGTGAATGGATTAAGCTACGGCAGCTTTTGTAGTGTGGAAATTAATTGTCCCCATTCATGCCGCATGAATATGAAAAATCTAGCCAATCTTCACGTACATATATGACATGCATAAATGTATAACATCGAGTGATTTCCCTTGATATTTTATACAATCAATACTGCGTTTATCATAAATATTTGTTCTCATTTTTTTATTAATGTTTTATTCTTTGCACGCCTCCGTTATATTATTATATATTAAACACACATGAAAGTACATTCCGTCTAAACATGAAGCCAAATTTTATAAAAGGATTTTAAGAAAAAGTCTGTGAAAAAGCTATCGCTGGATTCATCAATATATTTCCAAATTAAGGATCAGTATGGTATAAACGTCTCTGATCACTGTCCTTCTCTTTCGTGATACAGTCATTTACAGTATAGCCACATAGGTGTAAATAATAGTTGCCTGCATAACGGTTAAAATTGTCGTTGGATGTACATGTCATAATCTTACTCGGTAATCACGCTGTGATCAAAGCATGACGTCACCTCTAGAGTGATGCCACTGAACGTTTGTAAACAAGCAAGGACAAGACGAGGATTTATAAAGAATCGACACGATATTGATACAGTTCATATCAAGCCTAGTTTTACATTATAACACCCGTAAAATAAATGTTAAAATCGCATTTAAACAACGAAGACAACAATTTATCGACGATGGTTTATAAGAAGGCATTTAAAATAACTTCATACAGCACATACCTGTACAATAGTCAAAGTTCCGTAGGTGTAAGTGCCGGCCCACTTTAAACGAATTGTGGACGGAACAGAAATTCGCACAGCAGCATAACGACTTCCGGTCAAAGTAGAGCCAACTAGCCGCGATATACTGGCGTACTTACGAAGTGACAATCGCCAACAAAGATATCAGTTGTTTGTTTAAAGGAAGATCCAGGAATAAGTAGTGTATGCTTGATGTTTGGTCCATAAAATACCAGAAAAACACACCCTTTCCAGTTCTTAAGCTCCCGATTTAATATGCAAATCAGTTTAATATAAGTACACTGGCTCAGGTTCACGTGCCGGTGTGAGAGCTGTAAATATGGACGATAGACAGGAAGCAGATCGAGTTTTAATAATTAAAGATTTCAATTTGTATTAATTAACAGGACAAAATAAAATCGACCACGAGTACCTAGGCTGTCCATACGATTTCAATACGTTGACGTCACGCTGTTAACAATTTTATAAAATAACAATACAGATATAAATCATTCAGAAGATAATGAATGTTAAGATTAAAGATAATGCTAAGATTGAAGATAACACCCTCTTATTTTCCGGCAATCGGATTGGTTTAAGAAACAAATATTTCCCGTGACGTTTCTGAGTGATCATGATCGACATAAGCAAAGGTTGTAGGTATTCAGCCTGTATCTGACAACAGAGACAATAGAACGTATCGGCAAGGAGCTCGAGGATTGATGTAAACTTCGTGTGTATTAAAGGGAATTATTGATTAATTAGGTACGGGATGTAATGGACAATAGACAGGCTGAAGGTGTGTGAATAGTATTATTTTAGTCGTCCCAGTGTATTTAAGCTTGTCCAATTGCTCAGTGCTAATAATGTAAAAGATTCGTGTAATCTTGGTAAATATATAAGATTTGCTTTTAAGAAGCGCTCTCAGTCATCATAGTATTATCACATTCTTGTGTGTGTGTGTGTGTGTGTGTGTGTATGTGATACGATTACATACAAGTATCACTCTCCTGTACATCATTACTCTGTTTAACCTGTTAATGTGTATTAATATTGTGTTTTGTATCTTATAAGTCGTAAGGCTTACAGAATAAACTAATTGATTGAATTGCATTGAACAGTATATCAACACTCACATGGCTCACAATCTAGATGAAAACAAATTATGTTATGCAATAAAACTTATGTTAGCTGTGTCCAATATTTTTCGAAAAATATCTCCATCTCTTCTTTGTCCCCTCTCTTAACTGTAATTCTTTCTTGCCATATGCATGTTTAAGTAGCTCCAACATTGCGTGAAATGTATTGTAATCCAATGATTATTGCCGAAGAGGACTTTAATTGTTTGGCAAAACGTGTGTCCAATTCGTTTGCAAAAGCTGTTTATTTGCAATAAATTTGTTTAAATCAAATCAATTACTGCTTCTTGTAAATATAAATTGTGTCTTAGTATTCCTTGAACACCGATGATGCAATGAACACGACGTGACGTCATAACTCGAGTCATTGAGCTGACGTCAGTTGCAAGCTTGTACATACACAGATCAATATCTTGTTTTGAGTTTTTTTGCTGTTTAAGGCTACACCAAATGGATGATAAAAACACAATTTAGTTATATCTGGATTCAAAATACTTTAAAAAAAAGCGTCTTCTTAAATAGTTTGCCTTACAACCGCTTCTGGTACTACCGCTAGATAAAGTAGTCCCTGGCATGGCTTGGCTCCATCATAAGTGCGCACTGTTGTCACATTATCTACACAATTGGTTATATACATGTACAGTGTGAACCACAAACACCTACAAATTGTTGACGAGGAATTCCTGATGGTGGAAGGGCAAGCCATGAAGCACATGTGTCAGGTCTTGCACGTGCATGCCGTGACTTTGAACACGTAACCTGTCTGATTTTGTTTTATTTTTTTAAATTCTTTCTTACCATGATGATGTTTTGCGATGCTCGTGGTCTCCTAGTTTGTCAGTCGACACCTACTACAGGACAGTCTTTATGTAAACCTACCAATAAAAAAGAGCCGTACCTTCTTTATAAATACACATTGGTAGACTAGTTCACATAGATTTATTTTCGGCTGCCGTATCTCCACGCCTTATCTGTGACGTGACAACAGATTCTGAGAAACAATGTATACCCTTACATCACTTATTATGTCGGATGACGTAATCAGAAATCAATGACTTATCAGTCAAATATTGCTATTTGACGCCATCTGTCGGGACCATACGCATTACACTAATAAACATAATAAGAACACTATTCATGACACTTTGGATTCCTAAAACTAAACACAAATAAAGTTAATGAATGAAAACTAGATTTCTTGAAAGTGGCCGCCTTTGAAATCCAAAACATATTTCACATATTCGATAAGCCACCGAAAGCGCTAGCATTATTTGAAGTTGTGTAGAAGCGCCCCCATAGTACGTGTATTTCTTGGCATTCCCAATAACCTGTGTCATACTTTGGTGACAGTTGGGTACTGAAAGAAAACCATTAGGAAATTAAATGTTAACATATTATTAGATGTTGTTGGGTTCACAAGAAAAGTAAACAATATTCGCTTCAGTCGATTCCCTAACGATTGTAAAGCACAGAGATGTATGTGAAGTTTATGAAGAAAGCGCCATCTAACGGAAATTCGCGAAGGTATTACTGAAAGCTTACAAAGCATATATTGTAGTTCCCTCCCCTTAAACTTCTTCACGGAGAGTATGTAATCAATCACTGTGTCTGTATCATGTTCGCTAACAAATCAAAGTAGTTAAGTTATTCATGTACAGGTCGAGTTCACAGAAAACGTCTTTCTCCGGAACAAAAGCTTAATTGGTCAATTGGTTTGAATTTTTATTTATCACAGAATCATGAAAATGTTTGTAAATAACCGGAATATTTGTTCTATTTATAACCTTGCGATTTATCTTGGCAAGTGGCAACGCTACATAGCTATGTATCAGTTTGTACGACAGACCATTGGTATATTAGGCCTGTTTATTACATGTATTAGGTTAATACGGCATGATTTCTATTTACGACATACCTTTTTATACCGATTTACGGCATGTCACTTGAATCAAGGATATTTGTCGTACCCACCTTGCTAGTTTATAAACTTATTTTTTACAAAACTTGTTACAAACAGAACATCGTATGTAAAACAAAAATACCAAAAACCGAAGCCATGATTATTGCGGTATATTATTATTGGTGTTTTTTCATAAATATATAATCGAATTATGATGCAACGCAGTGAACTCCAAATTAGATTTATTGAAACATTGCAAACTATGCCTATAGAAAAGTAACTAAACAATGCGTCAGTCTCGAAATTCTTGTACGCTTCCTAACACAATAAGCCAACAGTTGGTGTATAGCGTTGACGTCATATGTATCTCAGTAAAATATTAAATATCATTATCATCACCACCACCAGCATCACTGCAATCATCATTATCATCGATTCGTCTCAAGAAGCCGATATTTATTATAGTGACAGTATGACGGATTACAAAATCAATAAAGAAAACTCAATTCCGGCCATGACGTATTCGGTTACTTAAATTAAGATTCAATCAAGGGAGCGTCTAATGAAATAAAGATGACACGGGTGACGTAATGAAAATCCGGCAAGCACTTTTGGACAATATTCGATCACTCCCGGCTATTTGATGGGAGTTGATACTGAAACGTTTTATCGTAAACGTTTATTAGGTTTTATTGATATCAATTTGTTGTAAGAGCAATTATGTCGTAATCATTACCGTATTTCATTTTCAATATTTATTTTAAGTAGCATAGCTATCATGGTTATTAAAATAGCGTCTGAAAATGAGCCATTCTAAAGAGGGTGTGGAATATAACTTGAAAATAGTAAGTCTACATTTAACAAGGCATCGCAAAAAACACGAATCCCCTCGCGTGCACAACAATCTATTACTATCGTATATATATATATGGGTCAAAGAAGTAATATAGACGGTAAAATCCCATATAACACTGGATCCTTATGGAGATATATCCGTAGGATACGAATTACTTAAAATAGTATATGGGGCAAAGAAGTAATTCCAACAGTGTGGACAAGTTAAGGTTGTCAAATTTTCGGAGCGATCCGCTCCTTTATCAATATATATATATGATATATTTGTATACCTTGCATCTTGTGAGCTTTGCCTAGTTACATAGCACTCCATGCAGCAGCTTCATTCTCTGACAATAAATTTCAAAGTTTCTGTATATTTCCTAAATAACGTATGATTATATGCAAATATGAGACAGTGATTTTGACTTTGACTATAACACGATGAACCCTGCTTCGACTGATGACAATATTTTCTATAAATAGAACGTATGATGGTGCCCTGAACCTTGACCTTGGTTCTTTAGAAAAAATAGGATGTGGAAGGCATGATCGTACGTGATTGATTTATGAGGTTTAATCAAAATCCGTTCAAAGAAAAGGACGCTAGATCGATGACAAATACTTTCTATAATTAGTTCGGTGACATTGACCTTGACGTCATTGAACACATATTCGTTTATGGTATTCGCATGTATATGTACGGTGACCTTGATCTTGATCCTGACCTTGAGACTTCGATACGTGAAATAGTATAAGTTATGGGATTTAAAATTATAATATTAAGGCAAACTAGGCAAATTATTTCTCTTTTTTTTTTTTTATTCAAATTATAAGAAGGTATAATAACTCGTTAAAGTCGATCCAACTTTGAACAAACGGGCCCATATACAACTTGATGACTGTTGCCGTTGCAAACGTTATTTAAAAAAAACCAACTCATATATACATACGTAACATAATACGTAACACCCAGCTTAATGTCATCCCGAAGAACAACGATGTATGTGAATTAAATATTACAACCATTATTTTACATTTACTGCAGAGCGACATTGAGTAGGTTTGTTTATTGTTATTAATGTTATTATTCAAAACAGATACATATGCACAGCAACGTACTGGTGCATTCATGCACACAGCGTAAACACACACAATAACGGGTGCATAGGATTTACTTGTACGTTTACGACTGTTAACGCCTGGCGTGGGAGGACGATGTTCAATTACAGTGTGAATAGCTTGTCTTACAGATGGTTCTTCTCACTGGCCCACTCCTAAAGTATGGAGAGTCCATATAACCAGCACTATACTGAAAATCACATTTAAAAGCAGCCTACCGGTTTGTCCTGATGAACGAGCATTTAACGTAATTAAATTTCTACAATAGACCTGTTCGAAAACATTAGTTGTTTTTGAACAGGTCTGTAGGAGCAATATGGAACACACATATTTCACAATACGCAACTTAATTGCTACACTGACAAAGTACGGAGAGTTACGTGGACCATAGACATCTCAATACTGAAGCCTCCAGTTCTACACCGACTAAGTATGGAGAGTTACGTGAACCATAGACATCTCAATACTGACGCCTCCAGTTCTACACCGACTAAGTATGGAGAACTACAGCGATCATACAGTCTCAATACTGACGACACCTGCAGTACTTTACCGACAAAGTCACTTCAGACGACTTCTGTTCTACGCTGACAAAGTATGGAGAAGTATAGGGACCACAGACATATCACTACTTGAGATTCTTGCTCTGAAGTGGGAATATATGAAGAGTTACCGCGAAACACGTCATTTCCGAGTTTCAAAGTTTTTCGCAATCACAGAGCCACTTTTTGTATACGTCAGCCACGTGCCTAAACCCGTGGTGCGATTGGCTGGAATCGCAGCCTTTTGTTCTCTAAAATAAGCAGCCAATCAACAAGACATGTATCAGCACGTGGCTGACGTTTACAAAAATGGAGCTCTATGACTGCGAAAAACTTTGAAACTTTTTGTCGAGTTTACCTGAACGCCATAGACCTCGTGACGCCACAAATTGTATTCGAACATCTCACATCGACCAACCTTTTCGAAAAACATGTTCCATATGCATTCAACTCAAATTCGTTATCATATCATTACTGTTCGTATCGACCACCAAACTACAACATACTGTCTGTGACGTCACATATTTGATATATTCGTATGTGGCACAGTCGAGCTGCCTTACATCTTTCAGTTCAATACATGGTGTGACGTTAGCGCTTGTATGCCAAGGGTGCGCACCTAGATCATGTGCATGTAGTCGTCGAAAGATGTAACTTACTATCAAGTAGGGACGCACGTGAGCCATTTGCAAAAACAGGGGTAAACGAGATGAGCGAAAAATACACAGCTCGCTGTGGTTGTCAGTCTTATATTGTACCGAGGGTTTTCACTAATAACTTTATGAGAGGCGATTTGTGTCTCCCAAAAGGTATGGGATAACTCAATGACTCTCTTTTTGTCTTTTTACATGTTATACCATCTTCGTATCCCTATTTATTCCGTTTGCACCCCCACCCCCCTGTTGTCTTATTGTGTTGGCTTTGCAAATGATAATATGGAGATACAATGTTAATGATCATTCACTATATTCACTAAAAAAGACTATAAAAGGTATTCCATTCGACCGTTCGGAGAATCTCTTTATGTGTATTTATAGAAACAACAGACTATATTATTGAAAATAATAGTACAGTAAATCTCCATCTATAAAGGTTAATGAGAAATAAATACGTCAGTAAATTTCCGCAAGCTGGATCTAGTGGTTTCTCATTTCATTCATTTGTTTTATTTCATCTTCTCGTTACATGTAATAGTAATAGAAAATGCACACATTACACAGTGTACGCTATACGTCAGATAATACAGAATTCGGTCAGGATCAATTAACGGAGAAATGTATTCTTCTCTTTCACATGGACTTTTTCAACTTTGATCCTTTTCTCTCTTCATTCTTCTGAACCACCTCCCCGCCCCACTAAACCCACCTAACCTTTAATCAGCTCGACATCAAGCGAAGCTCTCCGCCCCACCCCATCCCCATCCACGTGATCTCTGCTTTGCCCTCACATCGTCACCCCCCACCCCCACCCTTACCCC